GCATGTGTCCAATAGTGGGAATCTACTGCTGTTTTGCACAGAAATAAGAGTGACAAAATAATACACAGTCCACCTGATGATAAGTGGATGTTTTGGCATAGGATATATAAACCTACGTTCGGTTTAAGAATCAAAATATAAAATGCAGATGCGTCGTCACTCTTAAGGACTATGATGGAATGCCCTTACCAGTGAAAAATGTTTCAGATGCTCGTCACACAGCATACCAAATTCAACAGCATTATGTTGCTATTTTTTTTGTTATTCAACAGTCAAGCCGACTTATATGTGCTAGAGTCTACACTGAAACATGGCATGTAAAAAATATGTCTCTACTTAAAGAACTTAAAGAAAGATCCACATAGCCAACTACGTTCTTTACGTGATAAAGCCATGTTGCAGCTATATTAGTAGTATAGTTGTAGCATGAATGGGCCGGCTCGACCAGGAAAGACCACTATCTTACAGAATACCAGCGTAAAAAACACCAGATCAATACTGCTGTGTTTCGTAAGGTGAGTGCAGAGAACCGGAGAATCTTTTTACTGGAAACGAGGCATTCCATCTTAGTCCTCATGGGTGACAAAGCATCTGCATTTTGATTCGTAATCGAGGATAGATGTAGATGTCTATGGGCCACGGCAACCACTTACCATCAGGTGGACTGTGTGCTCGTTTGCCACTATAATACTATTTTTTTTTCGATTGTTTGTATATATGTATGTATAACTCTCTGGCCCGCTCTTTACATAAGGTATAAAATGTTTATCTTTTCATTATAAAGTAAAGTAACACTAAAGTGACAAACGGACTTAGAGTGAGCCTATGGACACATACAGATGTGTTGTCACCTCTGAGGACTAAGACGGAATGCCTCACAGCCTGTAAGTATGCTGCCTCTCTATAAATTTCAGATTGGAACACAGCAGTGCATGCACTTCTGCATGACTTCAGAAATAGGTAAGAAAGTGATGCCTATGCAAAGGCAGAACAATAGTACAAATATTATATATGGTGTTTTAAAATTCTTTTATCTAATTTTCAGGTTACCCTTACCTGATTCGCAATCACACAAGCTCTATTGACTGCTTCTGCTTCCACTTCTTCGTCCCTGGATAACTCATGTCCTTCTGGATCAGTTTTGCCAGCCGCTATAAGCTTTTCCGTGTTGCGGGCGATAATGTGACCGTTCTCTGCGTGAACCTAAAGAAAAAATAAGTTAACTAATTAGTGCTGGTGATTGCATTGATATTACCCGAAAGTTGTGAGAGCGGATGTTCAATTTGCTATCTTGTTAGATTGTGTATCTTAAATCACCCGTAATATAAGAAAACGCAACTCACTATATATACAGTGAACTAATTTCAACTCGGGTATAACGTAATTTGTCCCGGTCACAATATAACTTGATAAACGTAAGTCCACGACAGCACTTAAATAGATGCATATTATGTATACAAACCAGCAACAACAGTGTTAATAGGTACGATGACCAGTTTAACCATTAACTGGCTAACAAAATATAGAATAAATGACGGTGACCGTAGATGATGCGACTTACTTTATGAAGCTTGAACGAGTGGGAGTGGAAGTTTTACCCTAACTTTTTTATTTTTATTTACATATCTTCTATCTCCGACGATGTACATATAGTATGTAACGATTACGAATGACACTACCGTTTTATGTTATTAATTTTCATATTGAAATCTAGAAATAGTGATTTCATATTCGAGATTGTTACGTAGTACCAAACAAATGCCATATATACATAAAGGAATTGAGCAAAGTAACATCTAATATAGCGTAATTTTTGATATTTTTCTTAACAGAGAGATGTGTTGTATACTTCGAAGAATGTGAGCAGATTTTTTAATATCAATACTTATAGTACGAATCCCGATAGTCTCGAAAATATGTTCCTTGCTCAGTGCAATTGCCAAGTTACGATAATTAGAACCATTCGTTGCCTTGCGGAAATTCATGATGACAGAGTCAATTTGCTAAAATCCGCCAGTAGTCTCATTTAGCAATTATCCATCAAGGAGTTTATCTCTAGATGTCCTTCGTTTTGAGACAAAACTTATGCCGTGTTATCGACGTTGGTTTTTCCTGATAATTGTGTAATGGTGGTGGGTCTAAGTACTAATGATAATGGTGATATGGTGATAGTGCTCGTGATTGCGGGATGAGTGAGGTGTTTAATAAATGATTTTACTTTTGTATACCTATGTATTTTAGGACTTTTGTATATGTGTAACTAATATGTAATCTGTACTATTTGTTACTAAATATACATATTTTTTGGTATAATAAAAATACCATAGGCAGTGCTCCCAAATTCTTGCAAGTCTCTATGGCGCAGTAAAGCTGGTAATCGTCCAGCATCCATGCATCTTTATAGGCCATGAACATCTTGAACGAGTTAATGCCATACTCTTCGGTGCACAGCTGCTCCATTTCCTTCATGACGGACGGGGACCACCATGTTACTCCTACGTGGAGTGCGTAGTCACAGCAGACCTGTGGCAAAAGACAGTTATAATGCACAATGGTTCTCTTCTTGCATAAATCCTACAATTGGAACCGTACTCTATTATCCCCATCTATATCATTGGAACTGATTTCAAGCCTTTCTCCGATGTTGTCGTATTGGGGTTTACGATTACGAGTAGACTGGGACTAATGTTTATTTGATTAGTGCTTTGGATACATCTGTGTTGCATCCTAGACTGTAATTTATTTAAATAAAACTAATTTTACGTATTTTATCGCTTATATTAACTAATTTTATATTCCCGACGTCGAGCACTTTACAGCACCCATGGTCACGGGGGGGGGGGGGACGGGGGGGGACTGAGGTGTATGACGTCCCAATGTCATAGCTAACCACGGCTACCTCCAGATTAAAAAGTATTAATGTTTGTTCCGATCTACGCAGTATGAACTTACAGTATCTTGAAGTCTCACAGTTGTATGCTTGGGTTGGGATTTAATTTTATTAATTATGGGATCCCAAGCACCCAGCCATCTTCTCTATCTCTTCGCGTAAATATAAGAAATCATTATGTAATTTATTTATTACTCGTATATATTTCCATTACACTTATAAAAGTCCACTGCTGTCATAGCCCCCTCCCCATAGATAGCCTCATAGGAGATTTTGCCATAGTTGCCACGCTTGGTAGGCGGATTGGCAACTATTTTGAGTTGTTATCAGAAAGACGCTGCTAGCTATTCCCTGTTTTAGTTTCCCTTTGTCGCTATCACCTCTTATGACTACGGCTAGTGGATATTTTTACACTGCCACTACATAGTTAATTTGTATAATAATATACAAATTAACTATGTAGTGGCAGTGTGAGCCTGGCAAGAATGAAAAATATACAAATTATAATATAGTTTACTAATTAAAATAAGTGATAAATAAGTTACTATAAAATGTAATTAATTGGAATATAGTAAAATTATACTTCATAAAGTATAAATATATATAATATATAAGCGAACACTTACATAGAAAATGTTTCAATAAAACAAAATAGTATACCAAAATAAATCGGGCCACGAATATAGTAACAGGTTAACAGGAGATACATAAGTTCATATATTATGATATTTTTAGGAATGCTTCAACTACTATACCATGCTATCAGTGCGTGAGGTTTGGGATTGATATTCAAAATGGATTATACATTTATTATTTGTCGGCCGCCAGAGCCTTGCCGATCAGAAGAGTGGGCCGTGTAGAGGTGAAGTTGGTATTGAAAGATTTCCCCGTATATATAAAATGAAAATTATAATAAATGAAATGAAATTGTCGATATGAAACAATCAATTTACCTTGTTGTCAGCCTTCTCTCTCCAGTGATTGTAGGCTTCGATTAGAGACTGCCCTTTCTGAGGTAGTACAAAGTCAACTGAAATTAAAAAATGTGTACATTTTAATGGACTAATATTTGTTTATACTACATAAAATGCAAAAAATTACACAACTGTGTAAAGGCCGGTATTCAGAGACAATCCATTCCATCCATAAATCATAGCCTATCAAAGTCTAACAGCGCTGAACATAGGCCTTTCCATAGATTGCCTCATTTATTATACATATATACATAGTTGCTTCGCTTGGCAGGCGGGTTTTTAATTAAGAAACAATGTCGTGTTTCAACTCAAATTCCACAATGTCAGCATTTGTGTAAAGATAGTACCTATAGATGTTTTATCTCACGAAGGCAGCCGATTCTAACATTGCTGCTTAGTAAAACTTTTCTCCGTTATTACTGTACTTGATAATAATTTTTGACTCGTTCAAACAATGTACACGTGCACTTATACTACAAGTAAGACCAACCCGCCAACCCGTTATCGTGGGATAAAAATAAAAGAAATACTATTATGGTCTTGACTCAAAATTTAACATTGTGCAGCGCACCTTCTAGCGCTTGTATTTCCATTGATTAAAAATCGGGATTTAAAAAAAAGTTACGTGGACACTTGTGTGGACACTGGGCACAACTGTCTTGTTGCCTTCATTATATGAAATTTATTACAGCTACCTGTGGACAGCAATAGCATCTTATCACAAGGTGGAGTACTAGTTTGTTTACTTTAATATATAATATGCTAAGATGCGGGCTTTATAGAGGTACGATTATAAAAATAACGCCCGCAATAGTCCAACGCGTGTCTAGTTATAAGTTAAGGTGATTTTCTATTAATTAATTTCTGTCAACTTATTCGGCTGTCCCGTATTAAGAGAAGATTTCGACATAATGCTGTTATAGGATTATTATTAAAATTTAGCAGGCTTAGCATTGAGATGCGGACTTGTATGGCCTACAAATAGGTAATAGTTCCGGGTCCGGGTTTGAAGGATTGTCCTTGTACAATGTATGTAAACTTCCTTCAAAATACAGGAAAAAATATCGTGCAGTCTATTAAGTTGTTTTCTCAGTTTAAAGTATTATATTATTACTGTTATTACTTGATGTTCAATTTAATAAATACAAATCACTTTGTATAATTAAATGTTTATGTGTATAATTAAATAAGAATTCTGTGACTTTGTCTATTCGGAGCAGTTATATGCCTATAGCCTACATAAATAATAGGCTATAGCAGGCTATAGGCATTAAATTAAATATAAGGATACCACCTATGAACAGTATAGACTGCAACGATAATAGAGCAGGCAACATCGATGCCTTCAAATCGTTTTTTGTTTTGTATTCATCGTCATTATTACAGCTCTTCATAAGTGCCACCAAGGAATGCCATAAAGCACGGTCTGAGCCATTATCATACATACCTACATTAAAATATACAAAATTTGACCTGCGCAATGTTCAAAAACTTTATTAAACAAAGTTTGTATAAAAAGGGTTATTATAATATTAAGGAATTTATGGATGATAATAACCCCTGGGAATGAGGAGATTGCTACCAAGCTATTTCTAATTTGTTTTATGTGGTTAATTGTGTAACATACATGATTGTAAGCTGTTATTTAAAAAAAAGTCCCGCTTTGTTTCTGACTGGTTCTTCTAAGGACAGAGGCTTTTTTTTCGAACCAGTGGTAATTAAACTAAAGAGTGACTTTCAATAATTATTATTATTCATAATCTATATTGAATACAAAAGTTTATGTTTCTATCTTTCCATGTAATCTCTGCACTTTGTTGAAAGGATGGTGATTCCAATATTTCGGTACATGATATATTTGGTAATTTTCCTAAGTTCCTTACAACAATTGATGCGTTTTTATATTCAGAGTGACAAAAGAGCAAACAGTCCACCAAATACTGGTACTGTTGCTTATTGGCACCTTCATCTCAAATTAAAATGTAGATGGCGTTGGCATCGTTGAGAACAAAAATAGAATGCCCCGTTACTAGTAAAAAGGGTAACCTGTTCATGCGGCTAACCTTACGAAACAGCAGTTTACGATGCTATTTTACGCTGGTATTCTGTACATAAACCAAGGCCAGTCAGGAGAGCATTGTCACGGTTAGTTTCAAGGTCAACTTTTTATATTCAAATTTAAATAAGCGTTAGCTTAAAATGGACTGGAGTTCAATCAAAGTACGATCAGGATAATAGGTAACCATACAAAGAGAGACCTTGGATAAAATCGCTAATACTGTTGCCTTATTGAATGATTCGTTCGACAGGCCGTATTTAGATTAATGGGACATAATTCATTTAAGGTTAGACCGTGACTTAAAAGTTCAAAGTACAAAGTGCTGAACCTTAGAGCAGAAGAATAACCGTTAATCTATGTCCTAAGTAGAAAGTTCTGGGTAAACATCAAGACTACAACTTCATGCCTCCTCTACACTACTCGCGAAGTAGATCGAAGTTGGACGAGGCGAATAGTGTAGAGAGGTACTTCGATTCGCTTCGTGCAACCTCGCTTCGCCTCGGGCGACTTCCGATCGCTGTCGGTTTTTTGCGCCAGAGTCAAAGGACTTCGCGAAGTACCCCGAAGTTACACGAGGCGTCTCACTAGCAACAAAAGCACACAGCACACACAAACAAAATTCACAGCAAAATTGGGTATTCACACCAGCCAATAAGTGTTAATAATTTTACGCTCAACAGATGTCGCTAGTTGGTACCGAGTTAAAGTAATTTTTTACACAATTTCATTATACGTAATTGAGAATTTGCGTATTATATAGCAGTGTATTTATTGGTTTCTAGTATGTGTAAATACACAAAACAATGCCTTTAATTTGCTCTTTAATTTTTTGCACATTTTTTAATTTTTGGAATATCCGTAGTTTGGTTTAAGCGTTTGTAGCCTGATTAATATAAAATATAACTAATATTACAGAAAGAAAAATTTATCCATACATTTTCCGAACAAATTGCCTTCCTTCCCCCGCTATGAAATATGTCAAATATTTAACCTCAGTCCTAAATGGCGCCGCGCTGGTGGCAGAAAGCCGTGGAAAAAAATAATAATTAAATACTTTTTGAGAGAAGTAAAAATTTTTTTCATACGAAAATGTATGAGAATATCGTATAATGACGTCATAGTTTTTATCTTAGAGTATGCGTAGCTTGCTTATGCATACTCTAAGGTTTATATAGTCAAATTATAATCATACGAGGGCGACACTGAAAGTTTTTAGAATTGGCCACTTGTAAACGATATAATAAAAAAATAAGTTCATACTTACGGGTGAGGAAACCTGGATTTATTGTTATGATCCTGAAACTAAGAGACAGTCTGCTGTCTGGTTGTTTCTTTCCGAGGAGTTGCCAACTAAGGAAAAAGATGGTGGCCTCGTTCTTCGGAAGGACAGGTCATTACGCAACAATTGTTTTAGAGGATAAAAACAGTTACTGCAGAGTGGTATACTAACAATTGTTTGCCACTTATCTTGGCAAAGTTCGGGAGAAACGACATCGCAGTAGGATCCTCCTTCACCACGACAACGCCCCGTCGCACACCGCTATGCAAAAACAATCGACTATTTGGCGACGTCAGACGTGGAATTACTGGGTCACCCGCCCTATAGCCTGACCTCGCACCTTGCGATTTTTATTTATTTCCGAAAATAAAAGAAACATTTGGAGGCAAAAACGTTTTATGGTCGCCGAGGAAGCAGTTGCTGCGTTTCAAAACCCAAGCAGCACACAAGCGTTATGAACATCAATATACCAGCCCATATAGAACTTTGAGTTCTATTAGAAGCGTATAAGAGTGTCGAAAACAGATTGTATACTTATAAGAGTGGCTTATGAGTTATTATACAGCTCAAGCTGTATAAAGTCTGTATTCTGGGATCTAAGTAAGCTTAGGGTTCTTAATCAGAATATGAAAACTCTACTATACAGCTTTAAGTATTTTGTTACACTTCAATCTGATTTTATCATTAAAGCTGTATAGAAGCTGTTTTTTGCATGCTGTCACTTGCTTATTACAGCTTTAAGTGTTATAATAGTAGCATTCAAATATTATTTCTGTACTCTTATGGCGTAATTGTACACTCTTGTAAATAAAGTAGTTTTATAACTTCTGTCTATGAGAGTGATATAAAACTAAATAACAGCTATAGTATATATAGTACAGATTAAGTTTGTATAAGTGATAGAATATCGCCATTTTGAATGCGTAATTGCGTGTTTAATATATTGTGCTATAGTGAACAAATTAATTTGTTATCAATATGTGTAAAAAAAGAAAAAGATTTGGTGCGGTTAGAGGAAGGATTAAAAGGGAATATTTAAATATTACAAATTATCAACGTAATAATAGTGCTACTGAAGAATATAGAAATACGTTAATAAATCAGACAAGCTACAGTCAAACGTCAATCCCATCGACGGCTAACAAAGAAGGTTCCGTAACAAAAACATTAAACAGTGTTAATCATGATCACAGTTATGTCAAATTTAACTTAGTTTTCGGCACCTGATTATGATGATTTATCATGCAGCAGCACAAGTAGTTCAAATGATAATAACAGCGAATATTCAAAAAATCTATTTATTTTGCCAGCAAATTGAAGAATTGGGCCACAGAAAGAAATATATCTTAAGTAGATTTAAATGATTTATATTATTTATATTAGCATCTAGTCGCTTTTTTGGCCATCTTAAAACGCCTTTTGATTCCCACAAACTTGGTACAATGAAAATGCAATTTTTCCCTTTCTCTATGGTTTTCAAAATTTTAAACGGCACATTTTTCTAAAATGTAAAATAAATCCAGTATAAGATACACAACACAGTCAAATTACTTTACAAAAGTTAAATTATGTATCAAATAAAATAGCTAACTCTTTTGGTTTTGTCGTACCTACGTGACGTAAGAGTATGAATAGAAAACGATATGCGTATGCGCTTACCAGGAGTTTACCTATCAACTAAACACAATAACAAAATAAACAGCATGCTCGTACTGGTACCATACTGCTGAGCGAGATAAAATATTCTGTCATAAAATGTGCCTTCCTTAATATTGTTTGGCAAAGAAAGAGATAGCTTTAATTCCTTACTCCACTTTTTAACATTAGAAAGAAAAGATGTATAGCTAATCTTTATTTGCTAAAGGTAGTCATATTTTTGGTTTGGTTTGTGAATTTAACTGAATCAAAGGGGTAGTAATTTATTGTAAATACATACAATATATATAATACAAATAAATACAATAATTTCGATTAAATCGATGGTTTTAGGTTGGTACAAAAATAAAAAAATATTTTTTCAATTTATTAATTTTGTCTGTGTGGCTTTATACAGTCTCTGTCTTAAAAGAAGTGAAAGAAGTAAGCACTTTTTTGTCCTTGTCCATAAAATAAAACAACTAAATTACTTAAACACGATTAAATCTTAAAATATTATTATTTAAATGAGATAAAGTGAAGAAGGGATAAAAGTGTTGTTTCTAAGACAAAGGTTTTTCATCTTTTAGACATATCTCTAAAGACAATTATCTGTGATGTTTTAAAAACTACTATACAGCGTTAGTAATAAAAATATTCTATTATGCAGCTGATTAGAAACTAATGGCTGTATAACAGAATCCATAACATACATAGTAGAGCTACTAAGACTCTCGAAATATCCTTTAGGCTGTTTAGCAAATTGTCGCCATTTTAGGACCTATAAAAACAAAATTTTAATTGTAAATTTAGGTATATGGGACATTAGTTTTATCCTAAAACATTATTTTTAGTTTGACTAATGATCACCTTGGCCCAATATGCATTCATATTCACTAATTTAATTATTTTCTTATTCTAACCTATAAAATCAATATTTACTTACCATATTTAGTATTTTGTTCTTATATTATTTCGTTATTTTACTGGCGCGGCAATTTTTTGATAGAAATCATATACAAGTTTACCGTAAATCTAATTTTGCACTTTCTATTCACCAGTTATCACCGTCAAAACTCAACTCTAATCCAAGTAATATTAATATGTAATATAATCTTTAACTCACTATAAATGTCGCCATCATTCAATAAAGTTAACCTATTAAGTTATTTTTGTCATAATTTCATTTGTGATACTGTTCAAACACCAATTTAGAACGTTTATCTGTAAAAGATACTTATAAGATATTATTTGTAGTGTAATAGTTTCCTTGTACACCAAATAACAGCTATAATACAGCTATTATACAGCCCCTTTTGTGTTTGTACAGCTACTGTACAGCGGTAGTAACGCATAAAGCTGTATAATTTGTGCCAATTTTTTACTAATAAGAGCTGTATAAGCGCTTATACAGCCTTTGTACAGCCAGCAAATGCAGCCTGTAGTATAAAAAGGAACTCCAATACAGCTCGTATACAGCTTGCATACTGCTTGGGAATGCCTTCGATGAGACCTCTAAGGACGAGTGGGCAAAGTGCTTTTCTCAGTGGTTCCATCGGATGCAGCGATGTATTGATGTAAATGGACACTATTTTGAAAAGATATAATAAAAATAATAACTTGCTAGTTTGTTCAGTTTTTGATTTTTTAAGATCTTTCAGTGTCACCTTCGTATTGGTATATTATTAAAATCTATACATTTAATTTATTTTTATATAAAAAAATTACCAAGTTTCTTAACCTACTAAAGGAACCTATCAAATTCAAATTATATGATGTTAGTAATTTAATAATGATAGTGTCAAATATGTACCATATTGCAATTAACAATTTCATTGAACTAAAATTAAACTCTTTTGTAGCGGATGTTTTATTTTTGCATGTTATATTTGACGATATATTCGTCAATAATTATTGTAAACCGATTTTAAATTAAATAGCTTCAGGGGTGGTCTCACATAAATTTGGATGGATGAGAAATTAGGGGATGGAATTTATAAAGTAATTATTTAGACGACGTTGTATTTGTTACCTTGACCTTGCGATATAAGGATTATCCATTCAAAGATGTCAAAAATTTAAACTTTTAATAAAAACTAAAAGCGGACTTCAAAGCATAATAATTAAAAATTGTAAAAGTGTCTTCAATATAAATTATTAAGGATAACTCAAAAACTACACGTCAGACCTCAATCAAATGTATATGAGAACACATGAGAAGCACCAGCTTTGAAATAAAAAAAAAGAATCATCGAAATCGGGTCACCTAGAAAAAAGTTATCGAGGTAACTAACATAAAAAAAGGAACATACAGTTGAATGGAGTACCTCCTCCTTTTTGAAGTCGGTGGAAAAGAACTTAAAAATAATAAAATAAATTCCACATAATAGCTTCTGAATTCAGGTGGTTTAATTCTTCTATACGAAGTCTTAATACAGACTTCGGAAGCTTTTATGTGGGAATTATTTTAATCTATTTTAGTCTAAAGCCGGCTTTTACTTTATATTAAACGTATATATATTTTAGGGCAAGCATTCATCCCCTAAGCTACAACTGCATGTTTCATACTAGGAACAATTATTTATAAGTCGGAGTTACGCTTGCCGCTGAGATAGTCAAAACGTTGTAGGTTCGAATCCGCCATTCGCCTACTGTCGTGAAACATACAAGTATTTTAAGTATTGTGAGAGTGGTCAATGAGAACATTATTAGAGATAACACAGCATTGTTATTACTGTTTTTAAAAACTACTTACTGACTGTTGTGGTACCACCGGCCACAGCAGCCCTGGTCCCCGTGTAAAAGTCATCAGCGGTCTTCGCGCCCATCATCTCTAGCTCCAAGTGGGTGTGGGGGTCAATGCCGCCGGGCATCACTAGTTTGCCCGTGGCGTCTATCACTCGGGTGCCACCCGGGATGATGAGATTGCGGCCCAGTTGCCTGGAATCATAAACAACTCTTTTAGAAAACAGTCCAAGGAAATTACAAGCATTTTTTTTAGAGATGTAACGAGTAATCGGAAAAGCCGACTATCCGGCCATGTTTATAGTCGGCCACTAGTTGACGAGTAGGTTGGCAAAAAGCGCCGATAGTCAGCCTATTATTTTATTCATATTTCAAATAAATTAAATAATCTGTAGGATACCTAATTGAAATGAATTCTTAACCTTCGTTGTTAGTAATTTTTATTATTATTCCTAGCTTCGAAAATATTAATTTTATTGTAAAAAGTCATAGGACCTTCTTTATTCGTATTTCATCAAAGAATATTAAAAAAAATCTTTTATATTTTATTCCTTTTCTTTATACATACAGGCTGTGGCGTAAAGAGTGGATAGACCTTTACCTACGGGTGGGGTACATTATAACTGTTCAGAAAACAAAAAAAAAAACGTACCCAGTAAAAGTTTCACGGTTTTCGAGTTATGGGACATTTACCAAATTTTCTAAACTGTTTAATCTTGTCCAATCTTTTCGGTGCCAAGATCACAAATGAAGGAATTTTCTCGACCTGTTTTTTTTGTAGCATTCTTTAATAGCTATACTACCTGTCAAATACTGAACGCCATTTTGAGCACTCGTAAGAAATTTCAATCCAATAAATGTGCTTTAAATGTCTTAATTTGTTTCATTTTCTTGTGTTAGTGCATTCCTTTGTAATAACATTACACCTGTATATTTTTAACGAGTCAAAAGTATCTGTTTAGGATTTTTAAAACCTTTAAAATTCATAACTCCGCAAAAATTTTAACTTTATCGTAAAAAGTCATAGGACCATTTTTATTCGTATTTCATCAGTTTTAAAAACAATGTTACGGTTTGAAAATAATAATTCCTTGCAATTAAAAAAATGCGTGCGTGTGTTTGTTTGAAAATACACAAAAAAAAATAAGAATGACTCTTTCTGTTCTAATTTCGCCCATCTATTTTAAAACGGTCAGCAAACTATTTTCTTCGCTTGACTTATAAAAAATCTCGCTGATTCACTTTTGACGGCCCGCTGCGTGATTTATTTTGAAATCAACAAAGCAATTCAATTTATCCAATTGTACCACTTTCCGTTGCCGAAACGAATTAAATTGAGGTTAACAGGAATCTATTGACCCTTCAAAAATTTACGAAGTTATGCGGGGTCTAGCTAATAAACTATTTTATGAATGAAACTCTGTCTAAATATAATACTGCAATAAAATCAGACTATTAACGTATGGAGAGATTTTTGACCTGTTTTAATTCTGTCTATTAATAAGGTTGTATTTGGTCTTAAAGAAACCGGTCAGTGATAAGATCGTCCATTGCAGTGCATTTAATACTAAATGCATTGCAATGAACGATCTTACTCTTATCCTGATCTTAACCTTTGTATTTTTATTTCTTTCTTATTATGCGAGTATATACACATACAACAGTCTACTGTTGAACTAGGCCGCCCCTATAGATTATCCACAAAGTATAGTCGTGAGCCACCTACATACATCGACTTCCTGCGTTTCATAAGGTCGTCACTGTATCTAGTGGAAGCCTATACCTGTGCAGTGTGATGTGGAGGGTACGTTCGCCAAACATTTTTTGCCACCGCCACTCAGAACGAAGAAACACAAGACACAAGAGTGTCTTCGTCATGTACGTCAAACGGCCACTCGTCCTAATCTAATAACATTATAACACATGCTCAATCAATATAATTAAACATTAAAAATTTCAATATAAATTATTAAGAAAAACTCAAAAACTATTGGTCATGCCTTGATTAAATTTATATGGGACTACTTGAGAATCACCAACATTCAAATAAAAAAAGAATCATCGAAATCGGTTCAGGCAGAAAAAAGTTATGAGGTAACACACATAAGAAAACATACAATCGAATTGAGTACCGTCTCCTTTTTGAAGTCGGTAGAAAATAGCCATGTCCATGGCATACACTATGCCGGTAGTTATTAGCAGCACTACGCTCGAAGTTGTTGACAAGTATGTTTACCCAGGACAAATTGTTCGTCTAGGTACTAAGTCTCAAAATCTTAAAACAAGAATGTACAACCAGTGCGTTGCCAGTGTTGACATAACTGAAACGTGGTCCTTCACTGCTGGCCGTATGAGGAAGCTTAAGTTTGCTCAACAAGCTGCAGAGAGGGATATGCTCGGAATTTCTCTGCGTTATATTATAGAATCCGTGACGATGATATCCGCAGTAGAACCAGAGTAAAACGAGGTGTAGGAAGGCACTCCTAGATAGACGCAGTGACGATCTGGTGATGCAGTAGGCTCAGAACCGTGCTTTGTGGCCATAACTTGGGCGAGGCCTATGTTTAGCAATGGACTTATGAAGGGCTATGAAATAAAATTAAAGAAAAAACGGCAGTCATTGGGGACTGCTGACAGAAGAGAAAACTTTAAACTATGAAATAACAGTGATTTTTGTAAAATAAAATATTAACATTAGTCTAGTCTAGTTGTCGCATCTATCGACACTCCGAGCAACAATTATATACATTTTTAAAATAGTATTTATAAAATATTTTATTTATTTATTGGGTAAAAGTTGACTCCTTTGCTGTGGCCGATAACGATACTATATTATTTATGCTCTGCTCGTCGCGTTAAATATCCAAGTGGATTCCCTGGCATTCTAGGTTGCTTTTAGTCTTACTAATTTAATTTAGGTTTTCTACAATTAACATAAAGAGCTCAATAATAAAAATTACGTTTTCGGAGTACTACTGATGTTATTATACACTTTTCTAGAATAAATTAAAAATAGTTTTTAGAAGAATAAATTTAAGAAAAAATAAAAAAGTCATTATATTTTTTCTAATAATCTTAAAAGGCTTTCTGCCTCTTCAACTAGTGCAGATGTGTATGCTAATGATAAAAACGTGCATAATTAAAAATAGTCGCCGTTTATGACAGTGACAGTTATGGTGACGGATGCTTGTTGCCGCATTAAGCCGCATCCGGGCGAAGCACGCGGTTCGCATCCAAACGTTTTGCCGAACGTAACGCGTCTGCGTTCTCAATTTGATGCGTTCGAATTTGGAATCGTTTCCTATTTACAATTTAAATTTATGCATTACTGCTGTTGCGTTTTATGGTAGCAATTATTGTTTATGGTCAGATACTCGTTACGCTCTGGCCCTTAAAAAGTGGCATTGAAATAAAAGCTACTTTCTTCAAAACTAAATAAATACTAAAGGAGAAATAATTTATCGTTTTTATAATGACCTGCAGTGGATTTTTATACATAAAAGTGATACAATTTTGTGTACTAAGTGTTTGTGCATGTGAACTATTAGTGGAAACGACGAAGCAAGTACTACAATGACCTTAATTTATTATGTCCGCTTGGGCGCCCTAATAACTTAAGATACTGTCAACGACTATCTTCCTAAAAGGTCCGCAATGTGTTGTATCAACATATTGTGGAAAACGTTATTAACAAAAAAAGTATAATATAGAATAATTACTTATTGGCTCCTTCATTTTCGAACAGGCTCATTTCACGTCTAATACTATTTACAAGCCCCGATTCATTTTGTACTTGTACTACAGGATCTGGGGATTTCATAATCTTATCAATTTCCAGCTGTAACTTTTGCTTTAATGTCAATTGGGATTGGGAGGTTTCGGGCCTTAGCTCATCATCTGTTTGTGATCCTCAGTTTTCTTCTTCTACCGTGTCCTCTCGGCTATTTAGTCTTTTAACAATACTCTTGTTTTGCTGTTACTAAGATACGCAGAAATAGCCGTGACGCAAAGATGGAATGTATTATTACTGTAGTTGTCTTCAGTTATCGTCATTCCATCTTAGTCTTCAGAGGTGACAACGTAAATGTAGCCTTCTTTGTATGGCTGCAGATGTGGTGATCACTGTAAGTTTTTTTTTTAAAACGTTACCCCCACACTAGGATTTTCTCCTGTATCGTGGAGGCAGTTTACAAACACAAATTGCACAAGGACAAACATCCAGACCGGAACAATTATTTGTAGGCCATACAAATACTTGTTCCGTGCGGGATTCGAACCCGCGCCCCCCAGAGCAGCAACTCATTGCTAAGCCACTGCGCCACGGAGCCGTCAAACGTGTTTGTCACTTGTTTTATAAAAAAATATACCAAATCTATTCACAGACCAGTGTAACTGTCTGTTTTATGTTTAATTAACTGGCGTTACTTTGCGGATATCCATTACACTTATTAAAGTTGGTAAAAGTTGATTAGCTAAAATTCGCGTGATAAATTAAAACTCGGTAACACACTTCATTATTTTATTTTACTAAGTAATTAATTTTTGAAATCTTTTGTGGGCGTATGTCTCCTTACATTTACCGGTTAGGTAGACCTATTGTTGCAGCTAAAACTTAACTGCCACTTCGCGCTACCAAAGATGAATATGTGGTTTTTACGTTGTAAGATTTTGAGATATTTTTTCGGACATTCAATTAGCAAGAATATAAATGGTTGTGGGATGAATTGCGACTCTACATTTCCCTTTATTTTGGTAAATGGGCTCCATTTTATTTTGCATGGAATGTATGAAAGGGAAAATAAAAAAACAAAGTATGTGTTTTTACTGGACAGTAGTACATAATCTTTATATATAAATTACATTTCACATTGTTTGTCCGCGATGAACTCCTAAACTACTGAACTGATTTCAAAGAAGTTTTGCATACTGTATGCAGTTTGGTCCAACTTGAGAGATAGGATAGTTTTTATTCCGATAAGTGACCCTCAATATTTTTATTACGATTTAAGGATTTTTATAGGACAAAGGGTCGTCGGAGAGGGCAGAACAACGTCTGCCTGGCCAGCTAGTATATCAGTCTTTCACAAGTCCACTGCTGACATGGCTTCTCCCAAATAATACCAAAAAACACGGTTCTGGACCACCTACATCCATCAACTTCCTGCATGTCTTACCAGATCGTCACTCCATCTAGT